CATCAACATACTCCAGTGATGGAGATGCAGAGTTCGTGAACTGACTGGTGGCAAGCAAGAAGTCCAGAAGGAAGATGAGCTGGGTGATGTGTCACAGCAAGGCAGCCAGCCAGGAGAGGCACAGGGCTGCAGCCAGCCCTGGAACAGGTCCCAGCCTGAACCCCACCAGAGAAGAGGAACAGGGACCAGCCAATCCTCCCAGATCTGGCTGCAGCCTTGGACAGGTACCAAGTAGACCTTCTGTCATCTTTGGGATGAGGGTTCCAGAAGATAGAAGAGCCAAAGATGAGCTGGAGAGGGGAGGGAATAAAAGACATGGAGGAAAATATCACTTTGGGGTGGTTGTGAAGAAAAGGATATCCACTCCACCAAGTAAAAACACTCCCTGGCCTCTGAGACTCTCTCCTGATCCAACCCCACCTCTAGCAGCTAAGAACCTGAGGCTGCCATATTGTTTTATCTATCTTAGGGTGCAATGAGGACCGTGGCCCAGTGGGCACTCCCACTAGATGTTAATACCTCTAATGCCACCAGTGGCTCCCCTTTCTAAACGTTTTCTTCCCTCCTGTCTCTGTTGCTTTTACAGCACTAAAGTTCCTCATTATATGATTGATTGATTGAATGATTGTTCACAGAGTATATTTCCTTGAGCTGCAAGCATTTTAAGGTCAGGCCTAACTCCTTTATATTCCCTATCAGCTTCCTCAGAACTGTAATCTAGCTGACTCTCAATAAATATTGTTAAATTTTAACGAACTTTTTTAAATCTGGGGAAGAAGGAGATCACTGTAAACTATTATTGTCAGCCACAAACCATTTAATAAAAATTAATTTTCAGAATTTTTAAAAATTTTTCAATTTAGATGGACAGAATAATTGATAGATTGATTTTTATGTGGTGCTACTGAGGATTGAACCCAGTGCCTCATACATGCTAGGCAAGTGCTCTGACACTGACCCAGTCCCTAATTTTCAGAATTTTATTAAGGTAGATTTTGATTAAAGAATTGAGAGAAAGTTGGAGGAAATTTCTTGAAGAAGAAGGGGAAAAAACTATGTGACCATTTAGAGAGATGATTTTTTAAAAATCATGACTTACTCATGCCCTAAAGCACTGTGGAGACATTAAAAATAGCTAGACTTCTGTAGACCATCATAGAAAGATATCAGACATATTATTAAGTTAAAACAAAACAAACTCTTGCAAAACATTCACATGTGACCTTATTTTTGTTAAAAAGTGACAGCAAAATACATGTCTCTCCATTGTAGAAGAGACCTGAAAATTTTATTTTCTGTATACCTACCTCAAGGGTGGCATATTGTATTTTCTGTATACCTACCTCAAGGGTGGCATATTGTCCCTAACCAAAGATGCAGACAAAATCATACACAGTGGTCACCTCTAGCACCACTTTTCTCTAACTCTGATGTAACCATGTATGAATTGCCTGAGAGTACCATTAAAAATGTTAAAATTAAATTCTCATTAAGTAGGTCTGAATGGAGTCCAGATTCTGTATTTCTGACAAGGTCTCAAGCAATGATATCCCAAAGCCAGATCATCCTGGCTTGTGAGAGCTGCAGGTTACACAGGAGTTTTGCAATTCCTTTGCAAAATGTAGACATCCTTAAATATTATAGTATATTTACTGAGGCTTGGAATGTAGCTCAGAGGTAGAACATCTGCCTTGCATACACAAGGCCCTAGATTCCTTCCTCAGAACCACAAAAAAATAAATATATATATATATATATATATATATATATATATATATATATATATATTCATAAGTAAATAAGTTATATTCAAAACTCATTACTTATTATTCTTTACCAATTTACTCTTATATTCTTGAGGTTGTACACATAAACTACTGAATCTGTAAGTGGGGAAAAAATATCTAATAGTATGCCACTATTCCTAGTTTTGCACTCAGTGACATCACACTGATGGCATGAAATTTGCCATGGTGAGAGCATTTTACAATGGAAACTGGGCCAACACTATAGATCAGGGTTTTTATTTTCTTCTTCTTTTTCTTTTAGAGAGCCGCTTGTTAAACACTTACCAGCACACCACCACTATGAACATAGAGCATTGGTCTAAGGCACAGGGCTATTTGGGGAAAAGTTTTAAGAGTAAGAGGAAAGAGTACCGAAGAGGGAGGCTGTGAACTTCAAATTCAGATTTTGCCACACTAGTATTTTCTGTATACCTACCTCAAGGGTGGCATATTGTCCCTAACCAAATGCTTGCCAACTGAGGAAATGAATAAATGCTGTGAAGAACCAAGATCATCTGCAGAAGAGCATTGGATGGCTCACTTCACTTCCCACAGGAGCTGGGAATGAACAAAAGAGCTGGTTTGTGCTCCTGGGGGCCCCAGGCAGGGGTAGCCCAGAGCTGGCAGGCTCCCTCCCTCCCCCCTCAACATTTCCTGTATATGGTTTTGGTTCCTGCATCTGGCAGCCAGTATTGATTCATGTACTCCTCTAGAGTTCAGCAAGAACTATTTAGCAAGAAAAGCCCAAGGCCGAACTACTGGTTGAGTAAACAAACAGCCAGGTCTGGACAAAGCTCCAGCCGGAACCCACACCGCCACTCCTCCTCCCACCCTTCGGCCCCTCTCCTGCTTCTAGAACCTTCTCTCTAGCCCTGTTGCTCCCTCTAACTACTCTTACTCCTCGAACCACCAGAGGCAAAGTTCCACAATTAATGGAAACTTCCATCCCTCCAGCTCCTACCTGCTCGGGTGTCACCAATCCAAACGCACCAAAGCTGAAGTCAGAGCCATGGCGTGGTGGGCCTGGTGGGCCATCTGAGCAGACCTGTGGGTCAGGTCTCAGACCCTTAGGCAGAAACAGCTGTGCTTCTGCACCTGGTTCCAGCGAGTCACCCACACTCCCCGTCATCATCATCTTACCAATGTCCTCTGCACCCCAACTGCAGGCACCCTGGCACTGTTGTAGGCAATGGAAATCCGGGCTGCCCAACCACCAACTCTGAGAGCTCACACTGAGCAGAGGGAGCAAGTCAAACAGATGGTGGTGATCCCTAGGAAGAGACTGAGGTAAGGCAAAGGGGACACAAGTCATGGGGCAGGTGGCATGGGACTGATATGGGGAAAGGTTAATACTACAGAGTGGTGAAGGAGGGCCTCTCTGACAAGGTGGCACTGGAGAAGAGACCTGATAGGGGCCAGACATGGAACTATCCAGGGAGGAACATTTGGAACCAAGACAAACGGAAGCAGGAACCTTCCTGCTATGCTCAGAGCACCCCCAAGTGAAGTGAGCAGGAGCGGAGACCAGAGAGGCCGGCGTGGGGGCGCATCACGAGGGGCTGGGGGCCAGTGAAGGAATCTGGAATTTGGAATTTACTCTGGGAGAAATGGGGAGAGACTAGAAAGTTTTGAGCAGAGATGTGACATGATCTAATTTATTATTTTAAAATCTCATTCCAAGTGCTCTGCTAAAAGACAGGTTCAGGGGCTGAGGTTGTAGCTCAGTGGTAGAGCGCTCCCTAATGCCACACTAGGCGTTTCTGTATACCTATGTCAAGGGTGGCATATTGTGTGAGGCCCTGGGTTTGATCCTCAGCACCACATAAAAATAAATAAATAAAGGTATTGTGTCCAACTACAACTAAAAAATAAATATTAAAAAATTTATAAAAAATAAATATTAAAAAAAAAGACAGGCTCAGGGGGAAGAGGCATTAGAAGCATGGAGACCAGTGAGGTGGCTGAAGCAAAAGTCTAGGCAAAAAAAAGAGATGATGACACCTGAAACCAAGAGAGAGGCAATAGAGTAGGGCCCTGCTTATATTTTGAAACAGATCTGACAAGATGTGCTGATGAAATTTTTTTCCAGTACTGTGGATTGAACCCAGGGCCTTGCGCATGCGGGGTACATGTTTTACCACGGAGCTACAACCCCAGCACAGAAGTAATTGGGGCGGGGCTGGGGGGGGCGGTATACAGGGTCTCATTATGTTGTCAGGGTGCTGTCAAACTCCAGGCCTCTTGTGATCCTCCTGCCTTGGCCTCCAGTGTAGCTGGGACTACAGGTGCATGCCACCATGCCCAGCTGTCTGATGAATCTTCATGCCGCATGAAAGAAAGAGAAGTGTCAAGGAGGACTTGGGGTATCATGAGTCTGTCTTATAACAAGCTTTCATGCAGGAGCTGAACCTTGTTCTTTCTCACTGTATTTCCAGGAACAAAGAGTGGTTATTAGGCCTGGCCCACGTTCACCAAGAGAAGATAGGAGAGAGGAAAGAAGGGTGTGTGGAATAAGAATATTTATGCCATTGATATTTCTAAGTCTGGCCTTTCCCAGGAAATCTTGGGGACTGATCCAACAAGTTCTGATGACTTACCTACCTGCCCTCCACACCTTCCAGCTCCCTTTTCTCTTCTCGCACAAAAGCAAAACATTAGCAACTAGCCAGTTGAGAAGCAGTTTACCACTTCTTTTTTCAGCACTGAGTTAGTGTATTAATCAGTTTTCTACTGCTATGCAAAATACCTGAGGTTGGATACTTTATTTAAAAAAAAAGAGGTTTTTTGAAAGCTAAAAGTCTAAGATCAGATGGCCTTATTTTATTTTTTATTGTTTGATTCTTCTTAGTTATACATGATAGTAGAATCCATTGTGATAGAATTATACAAGCATGGAATATATCTTATTCTAATTAGGGCCCCCTTCTGAGGATGGGCGTGATGGTGGGATTAACTTAGTATTTTCATATGTGTGAAAATTATGTTAGATTTATTCTTCCTATTCCTGTCTCCCCTCTCTTTCTTTAAGTAATCTAATGAACTTCTCTTCTATCCCTTCCCCTTTATTGTGATTTAGCTTCCACGTTCAACCTTTGGTTTTCTGGGATTAGCTTATTTAACTTAGTGTGATAGTCTGCAGATCCATCCATTTACTGGCAAGTGTCATAAAATCATTCTTATTTATGGCTGAGTAATACTCCACTGTGTGTGTAATATATATATATATGATTTATTATCTGTTCATCTTTTGAAGGGCACCGAGTTAGGTTCCATAGCTTAGCTATTGTGAATTGTGCTGCTATAAACATTGCTGTGTCACTGTAGTATCATGATTTTAAATCCTTTGGATATATGCCAAGGAGTGGGATTACTGGGTCAAATGGTGGTTCCATGCCTAGATTTTGAGGAATCTCCATACTGCCTTCCAGAGTGGTTGCTCCAATTTGCAGTCCCACCAGCAATGTCTGAGTGTTCCTTTTCCCCCTCATCCTCACCAACATTTATTGTTACTTATATTCTTGACAGTTGCCATTCTGACTGGAGTGAGATGGAATCTCAGTGTAGTTTATTGTTTCAGCCTCTGGTGAGAGGCTCCTTGGCTGCATCCCATCATGATGGACCACATCACAGTACAAACATGTGCAGGAGGGAGAGCTAACATAGAGACACAGAAGCCAGAGGGGCTAGGCTTGTTATTTCATAATTCCTCTCTCAGAAACTAACTGGGGACCCACAAGAACTACATATCTCTTCTGAGAGCAGCACCCTCAATGACCTAACCTCCATCCACAATGCCCCATCTCTTAAAGGTCCCACTACTTCTTTATATGTCCACACTGAGGACCACACTTCTGATACATGAACTTTGGCGATCAAACCATCTCCAAACCCAGTTGTTAAGCTACACATTTAACTGATGTAACAGGAGCCCCCAAGAATTCCTTCATGAAGTTCTCTGCACATAAGTGGGTCGGAGCTGCTACCACAGCTGCACATGCATGGCAGAGACCCAGCAACATCTAATTTTGCTCTGGCATTCCGGGGGGGGGCTGCTGTATTGCACGGTCTCAGATCATTACATATGTGCTCTTGGTGGCCTGAAGGAAGAAGAAAGGAGGAGAAAGTCACTGGGTTGAGTCAGGGAAGAGAAGGAAGGTGCCTCTGCCCTTTAAGGACATGCCAAGGAGTTGCACCCACCACTTCTGCTCACATCCCATTGGCTAAAACTTGGCCATTTGGCCACCTGACTGTAAAGGAGGCTGGGAAATAAAATCATGCCCCCAACTAAAATTCCATCAAAATGGAAGAAGGGCAAGAGAATGTCGGGGGGCATCTGGCAGCTCTGCCACAAAGCAGATCCATCTGCCCTAAATGCCACTTTCCTTCTCTATATGTGATCCCCTTAGGATAAGGCCCAGCCTAATGCCTTTCATTTTATATGAAGAATTTTTAAGCACATGAAGCACAATCACCCACATAATTATGCTTAATGTTCCCAATACCCCATGGGCTAGGTAGTTTGGTCAGATTTTACCTAAGAAAACCAGGGTTTAGAATGGTGGGAAGATCTGTACAGGGTCACAGACTGATGAACAGCTGGGATTTGAACTCAGACCTTCTCTCCAGATCCCTTGCTCTCACCCCTCACCAGCAGGGCACTAAGTGGATAATTACTATGCTGTGAAGGAGGGGTGATCCCTACCACTCACAACACCACCACTAGAGAATATCAGGAAAGATGGCAGCTAAAGATGGGTATACCTTTACAGAACGCAGACAATCCCATCGTTCTCGCTGAAGGAGAAAATCCATTCCAGCCCTGCACATCTGTGTGTGACACAGAGGCAGAGGAGGCAAGACTGAAAAGCCAGGACAAATCCTGGGACCGGCCTGATGTGCACACCATCCCCAGCGCAGGTGGCCTCCTTGTTTACAGAAGCTTCTGTGGTGACTGGCTTGTGTCTGCTCCATACAGCTGTGAAATATTCTTAATATCAGTCCTTTCGAGATCTGTCCTTTGTGAGCCCCAAAGTGTCATACCATCCAAACTTCAGTTCCACATCTGCAAAAAAGATCAAGACAATTTTATTCCCTGCAGCCAGCCCACAGCTGGTGAGGAGACAGTGCTAAATATGTTGGTTTAACCAAGAGAAATGACAGCCACATTGTGCCTCAGACTTCCACTGGACACCATCTAGGCCCTAAGCATCTCTCACCCCAGCAGCACCCCCTGCCCCTATTTCCCCAGCTCATCTCTTCCAATTTCCCCTCTTCCCAGCCTGAAGACCAGGGCCCTCCAACAGTGCAAAGCAGGCTTGGAAGAGCTGGTGAGATCACAGGTCCTTCGACCATCAAAGAGGAAGAGACTTCGAGACTGCCCAATACTGTGGCCACAGGCCCTGTATGGCAGAGCCTTGCTCAATGTACAAGATTGCTGCTCTAATGCTTTCTTGCTTTAGCTAATTCAAAAACAATGTGGCAGCTAAGGGAGCCTTCTGAGGCCCCACTGCCTGGCTCTGATTCCAGCTCTGTCACCTATGACTGTGTGACCTGAGAAAACCTTAGCAATCATTCTGTGCCTACTTTCCTCATCAGTAAAATTAAATGATAATGACAGCAAGGCACTTATCTAGCATGGTTGTTGTGATGATAACATGAGTTAATACAGTTGATTCTCATTCCCAATGATTATGTTCTATAAAGTTGCTGTAAACAATGAATTAGTGAATTCTGATCCAGTTCCTAACAGGATACACAGTTTAGGTTCCTATGATTCTCGAGTTACAACACTTTCATCAACAGTGATGAATATCTTTGTTTTAATGTGTGTTTCTGTTTAAAGACACCATATTTAATATATATCATTGATCCATTAACTTTAAATTCACAGTCAACAGTACTATCATTCATATCTAAACAATGCTTATCTCATGCAAATTTTCTTCACAAGACACATCACAGCTTTCTTACACTTTATTGCACACACTACACTCCCCCTTCTCACTTTGTGCCCTAGACAACACATCATCACAACACTTAGGACTGTTTTAAACAGTAAAATTACCCAAAAAGAAGCCAGATGTGGTGGCTCATGCCTCTAATCCCAGCTACATGGGTGACTGAGACAGGAGGATCACAAATTCAAGGCAGCCTGGACAACTTAGTAAGACCTTGTCTCAAAATAAAATAAAAAGGGCTGGAAATGTAGCTCAGTGGTAGAATGCTTGCCTAGCATGCATGAGGCTCTGGTTCAATCCCCAGGATTCATACACACACACACATACACACACACACACACACACACACACACACAACATGGTACCAAACAGACCTTGCAATGAACACTTGTTTACAATCTGAACTGAGACAAGAAGACAGAGGGTCACCTGACTGGACCTTAGCTGGAATGTGCACATCCTGAAACACTAATTCCCTCTGCTCTACACATGTTTGAGAATGATCTTGGAAGCACCATGAGTATTGAAGTTGATAGTACACTGATTTTATCAAAAAGGTAAGTTTGCAGATACGGAATCCATGAGCAATAAGGATCAATCAACTGTATACAGAGAGCCCTCAGAATAGCACCTGATGTATAGTAAGCACTGGGTAAAGGCCAACAGCCTGCTGAGACAGATATTGCTGCTTCCATTTCATAGATGAGGAAACTAACTGTCCCAGAGGTTCAGGACCTGGTCAGTGATGGTGTCAGAACTCAGACTTGTTTTCAGCCTGGTTTTACTACTTTTTATATTGCTGAGGATGGGTCCCCAGCTCTCTCCACACTGCCTCCACAGGTGCAATGGTACTGGCCATAAGTGACAGGCACACATTGCACTCCCCCTTCCTGCTTCACACACACACAGAGCCCCTATATTTACACAAGGCTTCCTTTCCCAAACTTCCTTAATTCTGAGGTGCCCTAAGAACAAAGAGGTTTCCTAGCTTTCTGCCAGAGACCAGGTTCCTTCCTCTGGCTGTGGGCAGAGCTCCCAGCCCTTCTCATTCTATCTCAGCACCTTCTACTCCACACTGGCCACCAAGGCAGCCTGACACAAAGGACCCGGTACAAGAAGCTTAGGGTGGACTCTCTCAGCTTCCTCTGCTGCTTAGCCAGGGGCCCCAGCTGGGACTAGCTCACTCCATTGAGAAGAGAAGTCCTAGGAGAAAGGAAAGAGACTGCAATGGTGAGAGGGTGGAGAAGCCAGGACCCCAGGGACGCCCCACAGAGGGAAGGCTGGCCAATGGAGGGGCAGGTGTGAGAAGAAGGACTGCCCATCAGAACAGTGTGACAGAGGGTCATGGTATCCACATTGCATGAAGTCCTTGGTAAAGCCAGCATCTGCCTGGACCAGGCAGCTAACCCTGCCATCCTTCCAGCCCTGGGTTTTTTAAATAGATTGCAGATCCATCTGAAGTCTGAGAAGATGCAACGTCCTAGAGTAATTTGCATTTTTCATTTGCCTACTATCAAGGGTCAGTAAACCATGGCCTGCTACTTGCTGGTACATCTCACTAGCTAAAAATGTTGTTGTTGTTGTTGTTGTTGTTGTTGTTTTAACATCTTTAAAGGATGGAAGGAAGAGAAAAGAAGGAAGAAAGACCATATATGACCCATTAAGACTAAAATAATAACCTTTGCAGGAAAAGTTGTCTAATCCAGATTGATCTATCGAAGCCCTGCTAAGCAAGCAGGAAGCAGAACAGGCAGGACACAGGTCTAACACCCACTCATCCCTGGCCCAGGACATGCAGGGTGTCATTTAACCTCTGTGAGGCTCAATTTTCCCATCTACAAAGTGAAGACAGTAACACCCCTGGGGATGTGGGAATTAAATTAGATATAATCCACATCAAGCCTTTGGCCCAAAGCATCCTAGACAGCCACGTGTGGGCAGCGCTGGTGGCTAGTGGCTGCTGGCAGCAGTGGTTGTGGTGGAAGGGAACAGTGCAGATGGTAGAGGGATAAGCAAAAGGGCCCCATTCTGACTGTCTGTCTACATGTCACAGAGAACTGGGGAAACCGACTCATGGGGGTGACTCACCTGAGGTCACACCACTATAACAGCTATAATGTCACCAGAACAGCTTTCTGCAAACTCATGAAGGCTCACAAGCAGGTCCTAGGCACCCGCCCTTCCATTGCCCCTTTCAGGGCCAACACACCAACACAGACACACTTCTGACTCCAGACTTCATTCCCATAGAACTTTGCTCTTTTCAACAGACTGATGGATGGACCTGCTGTGGTGCTCATATCCTAGGGGTATTTTCATCCTTTCACAGACAGGAGGTCTGAGCTTCACTGAAAATCAAAGGAGCCACCTCAAACCAAAGCATTTCTTTATTTTCCCAACATGGGGACCAAAGTCTGGCCATAGCCAGGGCCTCTCCTCTTGGATCAATTATCCAAATTCTGAAGCTCACATGTTAGCTCACACTCTGGAACAGAGAAGGGTAGGCATGTAACAACCATAAAAACCAGGTTAGCTCTGGTCCCATCAAATCTCTCAGGCCCTCAGTCATCCTTACCTGCCTCTTGGTGCTTGAGAGAGGAAGGTGTCTCAGAGATCATATGAGGGGTTCCAAGCCACTTCTGGTTTTTGAGATTACCAGGACATACATTTTATAAAATGTGGTCCACTTTAAATAGTTACATTGCAAAATTAACCCTTTTAACCCCAAAGTATAATTCCATCTAATGGTGCTAATCCACAAAATAATTTTTGGATTTATCACATGTATGAATTTATCTTGAACAAGTAGGCAAAGTGGTCCAGTAGTGACATAGACATAGGAGTTTCAAGTTGAAAAGCATGTGTCTCCTTCTACTCTAGCTGGGTCAGATTATAGCACCACTTTATTGGAAGATGAAGTTCTCAGAAATGACATGCAAGTCTAGAGTGGAGGGTCCTCTTGCATGTCTCTCCAGCAAATTCCTAGACAGATCTCCTGTCTCTGGCTGTTCTCACCACAATCCTAGAAGAAGATTCTTCTCCTGCATCAAGTGCCACAAAGGCCACCAGCTTTTCCTCATCGCTAAATGTAAATTTGTTTCGGGGGGCCAGGACACCTGCATCACCCTGTTCCACCCTGTCCCCTCTCTTCCTGCTTCTAGGAAAACTGACAATTTCTTCTCCTCTTATTTCTCAAAAAATGATTCTTGAGTACATCAAAGAATGAGGGGTTAACTTGATAGTAAAGAAACCAACAAGCCCTGCCTCAGCCAGGTGGCCAAGGTCAACATCAGCAGGTATAACCCTGCACACAATGTGATGAGAGTGGCACTTTGGCTCTGTGTCCATCCCCCAAAGCCACATCAACCCACTCTACTCATTACAAAAACAGGAAACACAAAATTCCTAGTCAGTATCCTCAAAGCTGTCAAAGTCCCCACATACAAGGAAGTCTGAGAAATTGTCACAGCCAAAAGGAGACTAAGAAGAAATTATAACTAAGTAATAATGGACTACCCTGGATGGGATCCTGGAACAAAAAGAGACATTCTGTAAAGCAAACAAGTAAGTTTAAAAATCCAAATAAAGTATGGAATTCAGTTAATAATGATGTATCAATATTGATTCAGTAACACTGACATATGTGCCACATGAATGTAAGATGTTAATAACAGGGGAACATGGGCATGGAGTATACAGCAATCCTGTACCATAATTCCACAAACCACAAATTGTTCTAAAATAAAAAAGTATTTTTTAAAAGACTCAAATGTTCCGTTCTTACCACCTTCAAAGCACAAAACACAAAACACGCAGCTTACATAAGGCAGTGTGGCAGAGGGATCAGGAATACAGACTCTCCCTTCCCCAGCACTGAGGCAGGAAGATCACAGGTCTGTGGCCAGCCTCAGTGACTTAGCAAGATTCTGTTTCAAAATGAAAACTAAAAAGGATTGGTAGTATAACTCAGTGCTAGAGGGCCCCCAGGTTCCATCCCCAGTACCTAAAATTAAATTAAATTAAATACAAAGACTCTTGAGGTGTGAGACCCAGCTCTGCCACTTCCTGTGGAAGAGCCCTTGGGTGAGTCATTGAACCCTCTAAG